TTTTTGGGTTTTTTTTTTTTTTTTTTTTTTTGAAATAAAGCGTGTGTTCTTGTTCTGTAAGCGAGGCGATCTGCAGATTTCTGTGATCCCACTGACACTGTCGTGCAGAAATGACACACTTCACTTTGAGGGAGTTTGTTCTGTGCTGGTTAATGGTCCTCCTGAGGCTCTTGAAGGTTTACCCACAGGAGAATTATATTGCTCAGAGGTTGCTCTTTTATGTCACAAGAAACTTAATTGAGTTCTCTGTAATGTTTTCCTGAAGTAACGACAGATGTGTCTTCTAGAATTCTGTAGTAGAAATAAAAATAGTCCCAGATTGATATAAAATAAAGCTATAAAATTAATATGGATAGCACTGCTTGGCTGTATTATATTATATTATATTATATTATATTATATTATATTATATTATATTATCAGGATAAAAAACCTGTAAAAGCAGTAAACATAAGATTATATTATATTATATTATATTATATTATATTATATTATATTATATTATATTATATTATACACTGCTTGGCTGTATTATATTATATTATATTATATTATATTATATTATATTATATTATATTATATTATCAGGATAAAAAACCTGTAAAAGCAGTAAACATAAGTCTCTTAATTTGCACTTAATCTAATTGCTCTCGAGACAAAATTAATTTCCTTGTGAGTTTCTTTCCTACAGCAGGCACCTTTTCACAGTGCACAACATTTAATTTAATTTAATTAATTTCCTTTATTTATTAAATTTCATTTCATTTTTTATTCCTGAATTTCTTTGGGAGAAATAAAAAATAGTTGCAAATTAGACAGTTATTAACAAAGAAAGGGTATTATCTATAAAATTAATATGGATAGTATAGCTTGGATCATTTGTTCTTGGATTTGAGTTAATATTGAGAAGACTTTTGATTGCAGATTTCTTGTACAATATCTTGAGCACAAATCGGAGTTTGTGGCATTATTGAGAGATTACTTGGTTTTATGCTCCAGAGAATACCCTGAAAAGTAGTATACATGAGCTAAAGTTTGCCTCATTGTACTCTAGGAGAATCTATCCAGACAAAATGGATTTCCCTTGTGATTTTCTTTTCCACAGCAGGCACCTTTTCGTAATCCGCAGCCACTTTGGGCTCCATTTTTGCTGTATTTTTCTCAGTGTAGCAACCTACTGCTTTGTAGTCATGCTGTGTTTTTTTCTGTTACTAAAAATAGCTCACAGCACTGTGCCTTTCTGAGAGAGAGAGAGAGAAAGAGACAGAGAGGGAGAGAAGTGATCTGTCTGCGGAACAAAAGGAAATCCTCGGAGTGATGTCACTCACAAACACCTCCCGGTGAAGGGCTGCGGTCAAAAGCGGAGAGCGAGTGAAAGATACTGGAGGACAGAGGCACAGCGAGTGATGAGGGATGATGAGAAGAGGTGAACGCTAGCCTGCTCTCCTTAATGGCTTGCTTCACCTTGACTTGGCCAGTGGTCCGGAGGGAGTTGTAATGGAGAGCAGCATTCAGCCTAAACACATGCGACGTCTTTAAGACGGCCACTTGGTATGCAGGAATTGTTCTTTATTCGTCCATGGAAATTTGTGCTTGTGTGTTGCGCCATGTGGAAGCACTCAGTGTGGCGGTGCATGTGACATTGCATGTGTCTCCGGTGGGCTGTTCCTTGAGCGGTGGAGGGCTCTGCAGCGGTTGGGGAGGGCGAGAGCAAGCGGGAGAAACCAGGCTTAGCAAACACACTCGCAGGCATCAGCTCACAGAAGCAGCAGTGCAGTTGAGAGCGGATCGCTGGTGAGTGCACTACACACACACACACGCACGGCATGTGCATGAATACTGTATCCCGATGAGTGTGTTTAAC